ATGTTGTCATTATACGAAACATGTTTGAATGGCTGCAGTCCGAATTTTCCGTTGATTGAAGAATGGTGGATTATTTGTTCATTACATCTTTTAATACAGTGATTCATTAAATCTTTTTGAACAGTTATTATTTCATTTAGAATTTTGCCTGCAAATAATTGGAATTTCTATAAAAAAATCTTTGTAAATACATACTCTTTCTATTGTTGTACATTTTCCCAAATTATTCATTAATTTAAGTTCGGTAAATTTTATGTTTTGGACGCCCACAACGGGGGGAGGGGGGGGGGTTAGGGGGGTCAAGTCAAAAGTGGACAAAAGTGGACAAGGGGGGAGGTGGGGGGTAAAAAATAGCAAAAAAATTGGTGGACGTCTTTTATGGATGGCCCCTTATCTATTGAAAATTTACGCGGTCAAGGATATGACAATGGCAGCAACATGAAGGGAAAAGACAATGGTGCCCAGCGAAAAATTTTAGATGTCAATCCCCGAGCATTGTTTGTTCCTTGCTGGGCACTTACTTTGAATTTGGCTGCTAATGATGCTGCAAAATTATGCTTTGAAGAAACAGCCTTCTTTGATCTAGTGCAACGTGCTTATATATTCTTTTCAACTCGTCGTTGGGAAGTTTTAAATCGACATGTTTCTAATATCACTGTTAAACCACGGAGTGAAACAAGATGGGAAAGTCAAATTGATGCTTTGAAACATCTTCGTTATCAGCTTAGTGATGTCTACGAGGCTCTGGCAGAGATAGCGGATGATACAAATTTAACAGGAGCATCTGGTAATCACGAACAGATTCACGGGGTATTGCAAAAGCCATTTCTAGTTTTAAGTTTGTCATTTCTCTAGTTGTGTGGTATGACGTGTTGTTGGAGATCAACATGACTACGAAACAACTTCAGGCAAAATAATTAGATATAAATGGCGCCATCAATCATCTGGATGAAACAAAGAAGTTTCTCGTAAACCGCAGAAATGACACGGAGTTTGATAAAAAAAACTGGTAAGTGCAGCTGAAATTGCAGTCAATTTAGAGATACCAGCACTTTTCGAACCAGAACCAACCCGTATCAGAAGAAAGAAGAAATAATTTGCATACGAAGGAGATGACAACGAACCTATTCAGGTTCCAAAAGACAAATTCAAAGCAATACAAGAAAGATTCACTCTGATGCAACAAATCGGTGTTTGGTTTCCTCTATGATGTTCACAGTTTGCAGAATAAAACTAGCAATGAAGTTATG